TTTCGAGCTGCACCACGTCCACCGAGTCCGGCGCGCGACAGAAGAGCAGCACGTTGTGCCGGTGCGTCGCCGCACACAAAAACGGCAGCTTGAACTGCAGCGTCACGCACTGGTCGAGCACCGAGTTATGGAACTGCCAGACGCGGTTGCCCAACGCGGACCGCGCGACAAACGTGGTGCCGTCGACCAGCAAGTTCGCAAACGCGTGGTTGTTCGCCACGTGCCGCAGCGAACGCAGCTTGACCGCCTGCGCCAGACAGTCCCCAAACACCAAACTGCAGCCGTACAGGCGCACGCAGTCGCGCAGCGCCGCCACGATGAGCAGTTCGTCGCCCGCGTCCGCCACAAGCACCTCCACTTGCGGACGCGCCGCAAAGTCCAAGTACGCGAAACTGTGCGCAGCCGACGACTTGCAAAAGTGCAACCGATAGCCCGTTTCTCGCTTCTCCAGCAGCAGAAAACTCTGCAGCCCGAGATACAGCACGCGCTTCGCCGCGCCAAGCAGCGCGAGAAAGGCTCGCGAGCACGGCACTTCCAGCGCCAACTCCGCTTCGCGACAACCGCGCAAACGGTTTTGCTGCGCAGGCAGCAGCAACTGGTACTTGAATTTGCTCACGTTCGCAACGGCTTTCTGCACGAGCACCGGCACTGTTGTCCAGCGCAGCGCGTACACCGCTGACGGCTCCAGCTGTGACACGTGGATGCAGTAGAAGCGGCCGGCGATATCAGCAGCGTACACGAGGTGGTTGCCGCCCGCGCTGACGTAAACCGCAGCGATGTGCACGGGCTGCTCAACACTTGCGATCCGTTCCGAGCACACCGCTATCGCGCCTGCAAACAGCGACAGCAGCCCAGACACGTGCACCACCAGAAGCACTTTCATTGCGGACGAATCGCCGTCTGGCCCGCCGAGCGCGAAAGCAGTTGCTTGCTCACTGTTGCGCCCAGTCAGAACGGCCACGCCAGCAATGCGCTCACTGCAGCTTATCTCGCAACTGAGTCCGAAAGTGACTTCCGGTTCCTCCGCCTCGAAGGCGGCCACAACCGGCCGGAACAAGCCGTCCGGCCGCGACTGATGCCCGCACTCGGCAAGCACCTGACTTTCGCACGCAACGACCGCACTCTTCCGCAGCGTCATGCACTCGCCCGGCCGGAGCTGCGTGCGCAGCAAAATGGGCGCGGCGCAGAACCAAGGGTCGTTTCTGCGCTGCGTCACGACGACCCCGTCGTTCGCCGCGAAGTTGTACGCCTCGTCGAATTTCTGATAGCACAGCAGTTCCAACTTAGTCGGCGAAAAGTCGAAGTAATGCCGCACGCCGATGCGGTGCGAAGTCGAGAACCACAACACCAAACAGGACTCAAACAGATCAACTCGGTCGATGTCCGCGTCCGTTACAAAAGCAAAGAGCTCGTACAAATTCCGTCGGTGAACAAAGAACAACTGCACACTGCCCTGGCTCAAGACTGCGAGGTGCGCGCCGCGCGCCGCGACGGCGAGGACGGGAGCACGTACGTCCAGTTCGTCGCACGCATCCGGGACGAAGAAGTTCGGGTGCAAGAGTTGACCAATGCCGTTAATTGAAAAGGAGCTCATCCCGAGCTACTCGTCTGACGGCATCGACTGCCCGCCGCGTTACAAACGCGATTCGCGCGCGCGTAGCCGCGTCTGAGTCTGACAAAGTTCGTCACGCGGCATCGACTTTGAACTGCGCAAATAATTCTCGAAATTTATTATAAGCCGTGCGGCGGCTCTCGCAGTCGAGCAAGTCCAAATCGACGAAAGCCGCCAGCACGGCATCGATAGTGTTTTTAATCACCTGTTTTTGAGAAATCGAGCTCAGCGGCTCCGCTCGTCGGTAGTTGTCGAGCTGCTGTTTCAACAGGGGAAGTAGAGTTTTTTCGAACGTGGAACTGTAAAACTGCTTGCACAACCGGTGGGCGGCGACGCCGGCGCGGCTCGCGTCGTAGCCGCAGAACAGCAACGACGCATACGCATTCATCGTTTTGATGTACTCAACAGTCGAGACAGCGAACGAGCAAACTAGCTCGCCGTCCATCATGTAAACTTGGGTGTTCGAAGTCGCATCTTGCAGCTTTTGCTGCAACAGCGCTCTCTCGCGCTCCAACGCTGCTTGCGCGGCGGCAACGTCGCTGCTCCAAAAGCTCGCAGCGCCGCGCATAACGTAAAGCTCGAAGCGCGGGTCGTCGCAGACTTTGCACACCGTCGAAAGCCCGTACACTAGGTGCGCGAGCAACAGCTCCTGCTTCGAAGCCACGTCCAGCATGATTGCGAACGCCAGAAAGCCGAACGCTTCAACCAAAGCACGCACTTTGCTCAGCTCAACACCCGCAGAAACCGCGACTTCCAGCACCTTGAACGCTATTTTTGCAAGCGAGTCAAACACGTTGCTGTTCGCCTCGATCTCGGAAACAATCCACTCCGTTTTCATGCGGTGTAAAAGCGCGGCTTCGAGCGAACGAAGTGTTTCGGCATCGCTAAACTGTGTGGCGACGAACTCGCAGAATGTGATGCAGCTCAGCGTAAACTCGGAGTTCAGCTTCGACGCCGTCTGCTGCATTAAGTCTGAACAAAGCAGCGAGCACACGAACTGCATTGCTTCCTTCACTTCGGCGCGCAGCTGGCTCTCCGTGATTTGCTCAAGCTCGCTCTGAATCGACGCCAGTCTTTGCACAAGCTCGGCTCTGGTAAGTTCGCGGAAACCCGCTGAAAGTTCAACGAGGGCGTCGACGACGTTCAGCTGCGTGCGTTTCATTTTAAACGCGAGCTTTTGCAGCAGTTGCTCCGCCTTTAGCGCGTCGATTTTGCTGATGAGCATCACGGGGTTGTCATCCTCATCTGCGCCGCTGAGGCTCAGTCGCGCCAGCGACGCGTCTGGCTGTATCTCGACCTCGCGCAACTCGCTGCTGCTCAATACTTTGATGAAGCTCTCCGTCAGCTCTAACAGCTTGTAAAGGTCCTCCGTCCGCAGCACCGGGTCCAGCGGATTCAACAGCCGCAGCGCGGCGCAAAGCGGTTCAGGTTTCAATGAATTCATTCTTTGCGGCGCGCGCCTCGGTGTCGCCGTGCTTTCGAAAACGGCGAAACCGATCGCGACGAAATTGCTATTACGCTTTTTTAAGCAGTAAAACGAAACTCTGCCTTTAATAAACTCGCCGAACGATGCCGCTGAAACAGACTGTCGCCCGGCTCCAACTCAAGTGTCAAGATATGGTGCGCTTCTGGCAAATGAGCAAGCGTCCTTCAAAGCAAGGTAGGTTGTGGCCCGATCCATCAGAAACCATTTCGCTGTGTCGCTTCTACCTGCCCGTCTTCTTCACGGTCTGTTTCTTCGCGTATGTCGCGAACTTGTTTCGCCTCGCGCTAAATAAGGTTTTTTTGAGCTAAATGCGGAAAACCTCGCGCGCTGCGCAGCTCTGCGACCGTGCCTGCACGCTGCCCTGCCGACGCTCAACGTTCGTGGAATCGAAGACGCCTATTAAATTTTTTGCTCGGTTATTTGCGCTCGTTCTCACCACGCGCCAATTGACCAACGCCGCGCTTATCGCCCCGTTGTACCAATGAGCGATCAAGTACAGAAGACAAAGAGCGAGTACATCCAGGTCGTGATAATGCTGCCGGCGCACAATGCGAGCCGAACGCCATTTGTACACGAGTACTGGAACAGTTTCATCAGCGAACAGAAGGCGGACGGAAAGCTGTTCTTCATCGCCTACGGGAATAAACCGTTGCCGTTCATCGGCGAGCCGAACTATTCATTCATTGAAGGCTTTCCGCCGGTGCGCTTCAATGGCCTGGGCCCTCGCGTGCTGCCCGACCCAAAGCTGCGCGACACAATCTGCGGCATCGTGCAAGTCGTCCCGTGGAACGGCCATCTGGACCTCGAAAAGCTCTGGCTTTTGCAAAGCGACGAACGCAGAACAGTCAAAGTGCACTCGAACGCTATGGATTCTTTTATGCGGCACACGTACAAAGACAGCCCGAGCTTCAGCAGCTTTGTGCGCACGCCGTTCACCGAAGATAATCTGCCCGTGCGCAGCATCTTGCACGTAATGGACGATCGCGACTTCGGCGAGGGCAAGATTTACGTAAACCGCAACGACCCCTGCGTCACCGTGCGCGATTCGCCGCTACAGTGCGACCCCATGTCACGCATGCTCGTAAAAGGCTACGGTGTCGATATGTCCTGCCCTGAGTACGCTATGCACCCGTTTCTCAAGCAGCTGTTATCACTCATGGTTTGCGGCAGGTATGACAAGCGCGGTGCGCTGTTCTACCCGCGCTTCAGCTCGCAGTTCTACTACGCGCTCGAGTTTGTGCTCCGCCAAGCTACGAACCACGACTACACAACGCCTTACGTACATCTCAAGCCGCACACCGAAAATGACACACTCTCTTGCTCACAAACGCACTTCCCCGAAGCGGCGCAGGTCGCGAATCGGCTCGAAGAAATGCGCATCAAGGAGCTTTTTGTCAACTCCAAGCTGTCCTTACCCGAGCATATGGATTTGCTGCGCAACGGTGAACAGCCGCAACCAAGCCCAACAGATTTTGAGTACGATAAACTCAAAAACTACTTCTCGCTGCTCGCCTACTTACCGGACTTGCAGCTGAACACTGCGCAAGGGCACGTATCGAAACCCACGGTGAGCGAGCCGAAACCCGTCATCTACGAGCAAAGCTATACGATGAGCCTCACAGTCTGTCTGTTTTGCAGCCTCATTTACGTGTACAATCGCTACCGCAGCCAGTACCGCCAGGTCAAACAGAGTGCCAGCGCCGCCATGTGCAAGCCATCCAATCGGCTCATCACGCTATAGGCAGCGCAACGCTGCCGGTTCTCGCGTAGAACCACGCTGCAAAGGCGCACGCGCCTTCGCTCGTGTCTCCAGCCTCGAAGCGCGCTGCCCAACCCGCAAAACTCGCCGCGGGCACACCCAGCAGCGGGTCCAGGTTCTCCAAGTCAACACCCGTGTCGAGCTTCCAAAAATTTTGCAACAACGACAGCGCTGCCAAACTGTAACACGTGTGATACGCGTCCGCGTGCTTCCCGTAGTGGTCGCTAAAACCGCCGACGGGTTTTTCAGGAAGTGTCGAACCGCCCAGTATTTTTGCCACCTTACCTACTTGCGCAAAGTACTTCAAGTAGACCAGCACACCTGCAAAACGCGAATCGACGCGCACGCCGCTTAAGAACTCCACAAACACCAAAGAAGCCAAGAGCCAAAAGGCGTAACACGAGTCTGCCAGCTTGTCTGGCCGTCCGTTCACGCCCAGCGCGCACAGCCGCGCGCTCAACCAATACTACCTGCGCGCCATCGCAACTTACTGCAGTGCCTGCCGCGTTTTCGAGCTTTAATCCCAGCAACACGTAACTTGCCAGCGCGCAATAGCTGTAGCCCAAGTGCGCTTCGCCGCCGGGCTCGCCCGAAAACCCGCCTTGCGGCGTGTGCAGTGCACGCGCATACTGCGCGCAGGCGCCCGCCGCGGCCGCCGAGAACGCGCCACAAAGATGCAAAGTCGCAAGACTCGTATACAGAGAACTGCAGTGCCGCACCACTCCACTTACCGGGCGTCACGCTCACCGTCGATCACCGCAGAAAAGCTGCCGTCCGCGTGGCCGAGCAGCACGCAGAACTGACGAGCGTCCAGCGCCCGCAGTCGCTCGTACGCGCCGAGCATCACGCTCGCGGCACATAGCGCAAAAGTGTTTCCGCTGTGCACGAACGGGTACACACTGCCCGAAAACCCCTCGCGCAAAGCAAACTCCGCCAGCAGCTGCCGCAACCTGTTTCGAGCGCTCTCTCACTTACGCCTCCGCGTCGAAACCCGGGTTGCGCGCCAGCAACAAGCTTGCCGTCAGCGCCCAATAAAGAAGCCAGCCTTGATTCGGCTCCAGTGCCAAGAGACGCCGCGGAATTCGCTGCGTCAACGTCGCCAGCGCGAACTCGCGGTGCTCGGAAACGAAGAACGGCTCGGCGTCTTCATAGCACGCCACTTTGTCGTACAGTTCTTTCAAAGCGAACTGTTCCATACAAACACCAGCAAAAAGCTCGCTATTTAGCAGCTTAAGAAAATATGTCACGGCATTGATTTAGAAATTAGAGAAGCACTCTTTCCCCACGCAAGGAGTCTCGATGGTTCCGATCGGATCCGCCGTCTCCTTTCCTACGCACTGGAAACCGTCAGACACCGTACCCGGTGGACAGATCACCTGCGACTTAGTTGCATGGATGCACTCGCTGCCCTCCATGTACGTGCCGGCCGGGCAAACGCGCTCTTTCTCAATGACCGTAGTGAACACGCACTCACTACCCATCAGATCGCCCTCGTAACACACGTAATTCGGCAACGTCTTGTCCACTGCCACACAGTCGTCCGCCATACCGCCGTTGCTGCAGCGCTTCACCGACGGAACAATGCTGATGCTAATGCAGAACTCGCCTTCCTCGACATAGCCTGGTGCGCACGAACTTTCCTCAACGAAGTTTACATAGTCCTTGCGTCTGCAAGTCTGTTGAATAACAGTGACAGAGCTTGCAGGCACCTCCGGAGCTTCTATGACGGTCTGCTGCACGACGGCAGTCGGCTGCGTAACCTTCAGCGGGATGTAAGTCGCGTGTTTCTTGTTTAGGTATCGCGAATCCGCCATGCCGGAGTGACCGCCGTGGCCGTGCGAGACCGCTAAGTGCACCGGGTGCGATACTCCCACAACTGTCTGTACCAGGTCAGAAGCGATGTACTCTGCTGGACTGCAGTCGAATTCAGAAACCTTCACACAAGTGTCTTCGTCTTCGACGTAGCCCGCCGGGCACACTAAACGACGCAGACGCGCAATCCTGTCAGTCACAATGCAGTTGCCTTTGCCGTCTGGCCTGCCCGCGTAACACTGGTCAACAAGCTCGAGCGTCTTGCGCGACACACACATATTGCCTTCCAAAGTGTAGCTTGACGGGCAGTTAATCTGGGCAGGAAGCGAGTTTTTAACAACGCAAGAGTTGCCAACAACAGTAGTGCCTAGCGGACACTGGAGAATAGTTGAAGTCTTCGAAATGCAGTTTGGGCCCACCAATTCACCAACGAGACAAGTGGTCGCTGCCGGCAAGTACACAGACTTCTCGCACTGCTTCCCTACTAAATCAAAACCAAAGGGACATTGCAGGTTCTGTGAGAGCTGGTATTTGCCACCTTGAGAAAGACTACTCAACAGTAACAGTGATGCGATTCTCCTCATTGCTCCAATTCTAAAAGGTTCACTCCGTCTCCGAACACCACACGCTGACAAACGGCGAATTTTCGTATGTCTTTCGTTTTACTAGATCCAGTACACCAAAACAGGTTTTATAGCGCTCCTTTTGCTTAAGTACTGCGGATTGTGCATTGCCAGCTCCGCAACCTCTGGGTATGAATTGTTCTATCTTTTCTTTATCGAAACTTACAAATGACTTGAAAAATTTCCGGATCCTGTTAAGTTTCTCCGGAATCACGAGTTCTTCATTGGTGCACGCAAAAATGCTATTTAACTCATTGTTGAAGCGCAGACTCGTGACAGTGTGAAAACTACTTTTCATGTGGCGCGCCAAAGGTTCTCTCGCCTGCTCGCACTGACAAACGCAGTTAAACAGCGCAAAACCTCCATTAGCTATTCGGGTATTAAGCTGAGACAAAAATTGAGGTTCCAGGAATGTTGCCGACGGGCCAGTCACTCCTTCCAACGAAGGCAGCGAGTCGCTGTGAGTGCCATTAATATCGACGATCACAATATCAAATTTTTCGTCCGTCGTTTCAATGTATTTCGCTGCATCAGCAATTACTGTCTTGCAGCTTCCATCTTCTTCGTAGCCAAAGTGTTCTTTCGCCAGCTTGTCAATGCATTTGTCAATCTCAACGTTTTTGATTGTGCACCTGCCCGGCAAGATTATTTTCAGAAGCATTGAAATGATTCCTCCTCCCAAACCAAGAATGCAAACGTTCAACTTCTCCCCGTTGACTCGTTGCAATTTAGGATGACACATGACGAAAGCGATCATGCAAATAATGTAACCATGACAGATGTGCCTTCTATAAAAAAGCTGCTGCTCGTTCTCAAGATAGTACCAAAGTTCGGACTGTGCACAACGCGGACTGCTCTGGAATGACATGACGCGTCTAGTGTATTTGCTAGGTTTACAAAGGACTGACATGTTTCCTTTAACTTCTGTTCGACTGAGCAATTCGTCATCATCGATACTGATCACAGAATCCGAAACTAAAACTTGGCCAGCGTATTCTGAGGTGTCCTTTGTGACAATGCTTCTGTCGGTGCCGTACGTTTCCAAATTAGTGTAAACCTCCATGCGCTCACCAGGATCAATGGAAAGGCGCTGCATTGCATCGTGTACTTCAGTCGTAAGGTATTCCACCAAATTTTTAGTCACATTGTCGTTAATGTACTCGCTGTTTAGCGAAACAAAGAATACAAGCAGAAGTCGTTTGCATTTTAGCTTTGTACTTAACACTTTCAAACCATTCGTCGTTTTATATAGCCAGTGATGGTGCTCGGAAGGAGGTACAGCTAATGCGGTAGTAGCTCTGCTGTAAGTTTCGTTTTTGCCTGTGAGCTCATAATCAAAAAGGCCGATCTCATAAACGACTTCGTTAAGATCTGTTCGCACTATGTCAAAGCTTTCGAGTTGCATCGGACACAGAGTGCGAGACACCACGTTGATGAAGACATTGTTCCTCAGCTCCTTTAAATATGTGTACAAATTGTCGCAGTTAGAGAAATCGCTAGCAACAGTAAAGTTAACGAGTGGATCGAGAAGTAAGTATTTTGTTTTCTCTTCGCTGTGCTGGAGGAAGTAACCGAGTATAAAATGAGTCTGGTGGACAAATGGCATAATATTGCAAACAGCATTTGTCCGTTTCAAGCACTCCTCCAGGCTTTCTGCCATTTTAGCAAAAGCGTAGTTGAACAATGCAATCTTCTTTCCGCTTTCCAGCAACTCCTCAAGCAGCTTACTGTAGTTTTCAAAGAGCATGTTTGACTGTTCCTTGCTGAGAGATGACGTTGATATAATGTCTGACAGGCCCAGTGAGATGAAGCAGTCGACAGAGCAAGAAGACAGAAGATTTTTGATTGAGTCGGCGCTTTCAACAAGAGTCGTTATTTTCTCGTAGCGGCACTCACTCATGCGTTGTTTGCCCACAAATCTGTACGACGAGCTCACGATTCGCACGAACGTAAACTTGGACTTCTTAAACGACTTTTTCAGTCGTGTCATAAGCTCCGGACAAACATACCCAACTACAAAAATGTTCTTTAGTTCATCGGAATTGATGTTGGCGGCTTTCAAGTACCTTTTTATTTGCAAGCAAGGCAAATAGTTGTTGACCAGCGCAGAGCTGTCGAACCGGTTATTGAGAAACTGCTTCAGCTGATAATCGTCGTAAAATTTAGAGCGTAGTTCAAACGTCATGATTAACCCGAAACAGCAGCACAACGAGTCAGTTAAGCTTACTTAAAACGTAGAACTGCAGATTGCTCAGTCTATGTCTATCTTGCAAGATCAAATTTCCGGCTACAGGAATCCGAGGAAATTGTATGAAAAAGAATATTGAGGTTTTTCATAATCATGCGCACGAAAAATTCATCTATGTGTCCACAATTGTAACAACAGATGCGTCGTTGCGCTTATGCCCTGCAACTGGCATGCCGAATGTCATTGTTCAGAGTGAAAAGTCCAAATACGCTTTTTTCAGTTTTGTCGAGGTCACTCGCAGTTCTTCGTCATCGTGAATCTTTACGTAACGCGTTACAAGGTCCATAATATTTGACTCGACGATGAGCTTGAAAATTGCCTTGCCTAGAGCGTTCAGCATATCGTGCAACGCCTGCAACGCGCTCAACACGAGCTCTACGCTGTAGTTGGACTTGAGAAAGAGCATAACGAAGCAGTCAATCAGTAGCGTCGTGCAGTTTTTGAAGTTTTCATCATACAAGGACACTGACGACATGTCTTCGAAGTTGTACATAAGACCTATATAGCCAGCTATGCAGCCTTTCAACAAAGTTTCATCGTAAGTTTTGTCATCCTCATCCTCGCTCTTCATTCGCTCTGCCACGGCACTCAGTGCGTTGTGCAAAATCGCAGCGAAAATTGACAGATGAGGCTGCATGATTGAACTGCACATCAGACACAGGTCGCCCAAGCATGTTAGCAACGCCGCTCTGACGTTTACGCCCAGCTCATTAATGCGAATGAGCGTGCCAATCCGTTGCACAATGTCAGGGCCCATGGCTGCAATTGAGTTAGGGCAGCAGGTGATGCAAGTGGACATTAAGTTGACTGCAATGTAGCACACGTGCTCGTCGACTTCGGAAAATTCCCACGCGATGCAAATGAGTCGCATTATTGGAGCAATGTGCGGTTCAACGCCTGCCTGCAGCGTATACACCAGGGTTTCATAGAGGTAAAGAATGTCTTCAATGCACACAGGCCATTGCACCAGCTTGTCGCCTTCCATCTTTGATCCCTGCTGCACAATGGCACCCAACACATTAACGATCTCGTTAATACAGTGTGACACTCGCGTGCCGATTCTTCTAACTATGCTGTTTATGCAGCCAATCATCGACGATTGTACCCGACCAAAGTCTTGCGGACAGCTAACCGTCGCACTGTGGTGAAGACTCCGAAGCAGATTGATGAGCAGTCCCTCGAGGTAGCTCAGCACTTTCGGGTCATCAGAAACCTTCTGAATCACGATGTAGATCGCGTTGAAAGCGTAGTAGCGCAGGTTCAAGCTGTCACTGTCAGGACGTTGCACGGACAGCAGCAAACTCTCGACGATAATCTCAAAGTTTTCGTCTAGGTTGTAGTTGACAACGTGGACCTTAATTCCGTAGTTTTCGAACACGTTGTAGAGGGCGATACAAGCGTTCTTTGCTACGTGCGGGTCGTCGCTCAGCTTCGATACTAAGACTTCCACGAGCGACAGCCGAGTTCCTTGTGGTTTCAAGAATTCCTTCAGCTGCGAGATGTGGTGTTTGGCGAAAATGCCAATCAGCCACACTGTGTTGTCACGCCACACAACATTGTCGTGACTCATGTTTTCGTATAAGTTGGCAAACATGTTCTGCAGCAAAATTTTGATTTTTTCGCCAGTCAGTCCCTGCAGAACGTGGCCGAGCACGAGTGCCGCACTTTCGAAGTCGTTCCAAGCTCTGCTAAACCAATTAGCGTTCAGATACTGCATGCAGACCGGCAGAACGCCGTCGCCCAAAATGCGTGAGCAAAGGTTTAGACAAACACAAGCGCCTTTCTGTAAAGTCCATTCGTCTTCCATCTCGTACGGCTGCGACTCCGTAGATTTGGAGCAGACGCACAGGATCGGCAGTAGCGTGTTCGCATAGCGCTGAATCAACGAGTCCATATCTGTGCTCGTACAATTTTTCTCAAGTTCGATGTCGCACACAGTGATCCAAAACTCTATTGAGCTGATCTTCAAAATCTCCAACGACTCCTGACTCAGCTGCTGTAAACCCGTGTCGAGCGCTTCGTATCGACGGATCAGCATTTCGCCCAGCAAATTCGAGGCGAGGTGTGACCCAATGAGCATCGTGTAAAAGGACGACTCCAAAATTGAAGTAAAGCACGGTTTCAGAACGTCGTAGTACAGCTGCAGCAACTGCAAAATAAAGTCCCAAGCGGAGAGCCGAATCTCCAAGTTGCTATGGATGAGAAAAGGGTTAATCATCTCACACAACTTTAAAACGTCTTCCTGGTTGCCAATCAGCTTATCGGTGAAAATGATAGCGCTCGCAAACGCCTTCAGCGAGTAGTTGATGAGTTTTTCATCGGCTACTGCGAAGTTCGACACGATAAACTGAATGATGAAGTTCTTTTCTTCGTCGTTGAGGAAATTGGCGCCCGTGCACTCGCAGACATCGAGCAAGTCTTCTACTGTGTAAGCCAGCACAATTGTGCCGGTAATCTGCAAACTGGGGTCAGCCAAACACTTTTGTAAAAACTCAAAAAAATTGGGCCAGCCGGTAGGCAGCAGAAAGCACGCCAACACCGAAATGACTTGCGCAATAGTGGTAAGAACGGACTCTTCCGCGTCGGGATGAGTGAGTAAGTAGTCGAAGAAGACAACAGCGGCGCGCGCTTTCTGCTCAGGCGTGATCAACTCCTTCCACTTCTTTGAGCAAATCGCAAAGCTGTAAGCGCTGCCTTTGCGGAATTTGAAAGCATTCTTCAGCAACACGCCCGCGAGCTGCTTGACGGCAAGCGTAGAACCCGGCGAGTTGTCGATTAGGATTTGCGAAGTTCCATCGAAAAAATCACTGAGACACTCATTTTGGTACTTGGTCAACGCCGCCTCGGCGCTCAGGCGAGAGTTCAAGTCACAGGCTAAAAATTGGCGCGGGTGCGGCCGGCCCTGCGACGGCGCCAGCCCCGAAGAACTTACAAAGTGCGGTGCTCAGCAGCTCATGGTAGTTAATCATGCAGCTCAGTTCGGTCTGCCGCTGGTCTCATTCAAAAATGCGCATACAATAAATATTGTAAATTCCGAGATCATTTGGCGACCCTTAAATCCGAACGCATTGTTTTCCGTGTTTCCCGTCCTTCACACTCTGTAGCTCGAGTCTGCGTCGCAACCGTCTAGCAAAAAATCGAACCTGAAGATGTCTGGCAAGGTTCCGGAAAAAGCGAGCAACCAGCTGCTGCAGTCGTTGCTGGCCGTGCCAGACGCCAGTGTGCCGGAAGCCGTTTTCAACTTATGCAGTAAGTGTCACAAGCCACAAGCCAGAAAGAGCCAACTGCTCCGCACAGTCCGTGAACACGTTGAGCGAGGCGCTCCAGGCATATGCCACGCGCACGCAGCCGGCTACAATCGTATACCAAATGATCGAGGCCGTGAACCAGTATAACACGCCCGCGCAGAGCAAGCTGGCCACGTGCTTCGTAATGAATGATATGTTGCAGAAGAATACGCGCACTTTTTCGCATCCCGGTTTCACGTTTTTCACGCGCGTCGCGCCTGTCGCGCGAATGCAAGATAAGGAGTTTAAGAAAAACTACCTGCGCTTGCTGAAGATTTTCGTCGACCGCGGCATCTACTCTGCGGAGGCCCTCGCGGGCATTCAGCGAACACTGTCACGGAGTCAGTCGAGCGTAGATGCGAGCAACGAGGCGGTGGTAGCGAAACTCATCTGCGAAAAAGACGAAACTTTGCAGTTCGTAGACGCAAAACTCTACGGGCAGTGCAAATTACTGAACCAGGGACTGCGCGCGTGGGCGAAGGCAGCTATCGATTTGCCTAGCGCTTTCAATGCGGTCCAGGAAAAATTTGCGCTGGCCTTCGGTTCGCGCGAAATCATCGCGGAAAACAAAACTGCGCGTAAGTTTGCACAACTCCGCTGTAGTGAACGCCGACACGCGCGAGATTTTGGCGAAGACAACCAGCGACTACTCAAAATACTGCGATAAGCAGAGTCGTCTGCTAATCAACTTTGCAACTTGCTTAGTGCAAGACATCTTCGAGTGCAAAAAGCGCATCTCCACAATTCTGCGAACCATGTCAAACTAGTTCGCGAGCCACTTCGTTCATGACCAACCGCTCAAAGTGATTCACCCAGCGCTGAGCTTCTGCGAGAGAGAACCGACGCGCTTCGTGCGGCGCTATGTCCTCACTCGCAAATAGCGACTGTTCAAAGTGCCGAAACACTTGCTCGGGCACATTCGCGTAGAGCGCACGAACTCTACCGATCAGCTGCGCAGCGTCCAGCACGACGCCGTCGACGTCGAAAGAGAAAGTCGGAGTGAGCAAACCGAACGTGTCTTGAATGAACACTGCGAGCACCAACGAATGGTTCCCCGCTTTACATTTGGTCTCGAGCTCGTACAGAAACCGCGTTACACAGTATTTTCCGACGGCGTCGAGTCGCTCTTTGAAATCGACGATCAGCACGTGCGCCCCCGGTGTCGCAAGCTGGCTGAGCAGTGTGTCAAAAAACTTCTCGCGCTCTCCGGAGCGAGAGTGGTACACGTGAGACGTGAGCAGTTTGTAGACATCGAACGAAGAGAGTCTTTCGAACAGCGGAATAAAAAAGGATGACTGTTCGCCGTGCAAGAGCAGCGAAACAAATTTGTCGCGCTTAAGTGTCTCGACGCTTTCTACAAGACGAGCTTCAGCTTCTGAAGTCACGAAGAAAAACTCCTGAGATTGCGTTTTGATCAAAGTTGCTAAATCCTCACCGTCACACTTTAGATTGCGCAACAAGCGCAAGTCATTGATGCGCTGCTCATCTCGCTGATACAAAAGGCGTTCGAACGCCGCGTAGTCGATTCCGAAATCAGCGTCGTCGTTTACGTCTGCTAAAACGCGCTGCAGCAGTTCCTGCAGCTGGGGGTCGGCCGCGTCGGGCAAAATTACTTGTCTCAGCAGCTTGGCCGTCACATTACGTTGCACGCAGGAGGTGAAGATGCGCCATCCCGCAGATGTCGCGTAATTGGAAAGTTCGTGCCACTCGCGTTCGCTCACAGCGCACCATAAGCGGAGCGTGCGAGAGCTGTCAGCGAGCAACGCAAATCGCCAAAAATCTTTCAGTTCGGCGACGTAAAAAACTAGCCGCGTGACTGCAAAATGCGTCGGCTGCGCGTTAGCGGCAAAGACGAGCTCAGCAGTGCAAGCTCGAAAACAGCGCTGCCAGAACGCAAAGTTGTAGCGCTCGGCATTTCTGGCCCAACAGACAGTTGAAGTTTTGAAGTCCGCTACGCAGTTGACGAGCGCGTCGATCTCCACTGCGGCAGAAGTAAAATATTTGATTATTTGTTTATAGGCTGCCGCGTAGCGCGCAGGAGTGCTCTCGACTCAGCGCAACGATGCCGGAAGAGTCTGAAAACGAGAAGCGGTTGTTGCGGCTGCAGAGCGTCGTTCAGTGCCGCCAGCACCTCGTCGAGGAGAGCGTAACGGCGTTCAGGGACGAGACCGATTCGAACAGCGGTGCTAACGAACCAGCATTGCGGGCCGTGCACTCCATCGCGAATTTGCTGCGGAGCGTTATGCACTCTGACGTCTACGCGCTGCGAGCGCAAAAAAAGCCAGCCGCGCGCGCGGACTGCCCGCAGTCAGCGCAAGAGTTCCGCGTGCATGACGAGAAGAAGTTGCTGAAGCTCTTCGACAAAGACGCGGACGTTTCGGTCAAAAAAGTGACGCTGCTGCACCTCAAGCAGCTGACAAAGCCGAAGTCTATGCAGCTTTCGCCGGCTCTGGCCAACTTTCTCGAGCCGCGCAGTGGCGGAGCGCTCACAACGGAGTTGGCGCAGCGCCTCAACGCGAAATACTTGCTAGTGGTCATCGACCCGCTTACCAAAGCGAAGCACCCGGTAACGCTTACGCTGTAAGCGGCGATTGTGCCGCGCTGTGTGCAGTCTTCGTGATTTGGGCGCACCAGTTATTGCAGTCGAAGTAGATGCCTGCGTCTACGGCGTAGTCTTGCGCAGCCGCGGCAATGTCGTCTTCGAACTCTTCTCGTGTGTACATGTAGTAGTAGCGGTAAAACGTGGTGCTGTCTGAACTGCGGAACCAGGGCACCAAGTTGTCGCCATTGACTGTCTCGCGGCAACCGATCGAGTGCGGCTCATGCGTTCGAGCCCACACGTAGACCAGCGCTGCTCCTCCGACTTTCAGCACGCGCAGCAGCTCGCGCAACGCCAAAATGCGACGCTCGCGCGAAGCCAAGTGGTGAAGCACAGCGATGCAAACAAGCGCGTCGGCCGAACAGGCGCGCAGCGGCAGCGCGGGCACAGCGGCGCGCGCGAAGTCCGGCTGGGCGCGGCAGCCGGAGCTAAACGCAAGCAGCGTCTTGTGACACAAGTTGCGCTGCGCCTCCGCGATCATTGCGTTGGCAAGCTCAAAGCCGAGATACAGCACAGAGCGCTGCGCGCTGGGAACGTACTTGCCGTTTCCAAATCCAACGTCGACCAGCACGCGCCCGGGGTTCTGCGTCGCGGCGGCAACGAACTCGCTGACTTTCGGCCAAGGCTTGTAGCGCGTGCTATTGAAGTGCGAAGCTATCGCTTCATACGTGTTGACGACAAAGGTTTTCTCAATTTCTTCAGCAGCGCATTCCGGCAAATTCCTACACTCATATATTAACGGCATTATAGGGGATTATGGATTAGTCGCTGAATTTCGCGATGCAAGACGCCGGCGAAATATCGAAGGCGGTTTCGTTTCTGACGCGCCTGGAGTGCACAGAGGAGCGGGTCCGGCAATTGTTTGCGTTGGTGTCAAGCAACGACTGCGCTGCTAACGACCCCAGCGTTGCTGAGCTAGCGAAGTCAGTCGAGTCACTCCTCGAGGCGCTCGCCGGCGAGCTGTTTTCCGCCGGCACCGCCGAGCGAGTACCGTCGGAGCTGCACTGCGCGTTGCTTGCCGCATTGGTGGCGCTGCTCAACGCCTCGGAGTGCTTAGGCCACGGCGTTTTTCGAACGCTGCACAAGCCTTGCGAGCAGTTGGTTGCGTACGCCGTCGAGCGCTCGCTAAACTGCAGCAGTGTGGCCGAACGGAAATCTCTCTTTGCACTAATTGGGTCCTGCTGCGCGCTCGTGCCGAAGTTGCGTTTGAGCTTGCGCAAGGCACTCGCGACTCGTTCTGCGGAAAGCGTCACGACGCCTGCGCATCTGGCTACGCTATTTCGGCTGAACATTATGTGGCTAGGCAACTTTTACGCAAGCGACAGCGGCGCAGCGCACCGGCCCGCTAAGCAGCGCGGCGCTTTCTGTGCCATTGAGCACAGCCAAGTGGCGCAACTTCTCGCGCAGTTGCGGGAGGTTTGCGCCAGCGACTGCGGCGCGTCGGAGAAAGCCAGCTGCTTGGCAGCCGCGCTTGAGTTCCTGCAGTTCTGTTTGCTCTGCTTCGACGCGACTTGCGTGCGCGTGCTGAATGGCCTGCTGTGCGCCGGCGTCGCCGGCGTCGCCGATTTGCAAGAAAGTGGCGCACAAAGAACTGTTTCTCACGAGTTGCTATCTGGTCTTGCGGCCGTCACCCAGGCGCTCCGACTTGTTGCTCCGTCTGCGCTGCGCGAAAAAGTCGGCGGAGGCGAACTCAACGCGGACGCGCTGCGCGCGCAAGACTCGAGCAGTTTGAACCGCGCCTCACTCGGCGCTTGCTGCGTAGCCGTTGCGGCGCGTACTTTGAACGGCGTGCTGGAACGCTGCGGCGCTCGAGAAGACGTATCCGCGGTCTCGGCGCCGCGTTCTCTGCGAGCTTGTTTCGACGTAGGTTTAAACGTGGTGGCGAGTCTGCAGAGCGATTTTGCGGATGCAGACCTCGTCGCGCTGGACGCGTACTTGGCCACGCTGCTAAAGTTTCTGACGCTGTTTCTGACCTGGACTGCCGGCCGCGAACCGTTCGAGAGTGTGGGCGCGCAAAGCGCCTTCGCGCCTGCCGTCCAGCCGGCGGCACGTGCGCGCCTCGCGGCAGCGGAGCGTGTCGTCGAGGAACTGCTGAGCGACGGCTGCGCAGCGCTGCTGGCGTGCTGCGAGGTTGCGCTCGCGTTCTTCGGCGTGGCCGGCGACGGCTTCTCTGCGCTGCTAGGCGGCGACGCCGCCGAGAACCCGTTCGCGAAGTACGCTGGCGCAGTGCGCACCTGCGTGGATGCGTGCGTAACTTGGATGGCGCACGAGGGCCGCAGTGCGGTGGACGCGCAGCGGCTTTTTGCGGTGCGCGCGCAGCTCCAGTGGTTTTCGTTGCTGCGCAATTGGAAAGCCAGTGCGCCTTCTGAGCTGCGCGGCTCGCTTGCGTGCGACGGTGTTGCGCAGCGCTTTGTCAGCGGTTCGTTCGACGGCTCTTCCGACGCCGGCTTCGAAGAACCCGGCGGCGCGTACGACGACGCGTCTGCCGCCGAGTCAACAGTGGGCCCCGACGACGACCGCGCTGGCGGTTCGCGCGACAGCTCCTGTGGCGAAACAGTCGAAGAGAGCTTCAACAGGTCATTCAACGCGTATGCCGACAACACGGCCGACGCGCGCAGCGCGCAACCGCACGGGCGGCCGCAGCACGAAACCGATGAGGAGTCGCTCGACAACTCGTTCGCCGAGCAGCAGAGTTGCGCGTCCGACGCTTCGCACGAGTGCAATCCGCACGAGTGCAAACCGCACGAGCTGGACTTCTACTCTAGTGAAATGATTTAATTACGAAACCAGTTAGTTTACTTCTTCTTTTGCTTGGCCTGCAGCATCGACAGCTCCTGGAAGCCGGGCTGGTAAATCTTCGGCAAAAAGTAGCGCACCACGGCGCGGTTCAGCGCCATCAAAACGAAGTAGCAGAAAGACGAGCCGACCGCGTTGTCCGGCGCGTTCTGAACGCCCTGCGTCAGAAAGCCGCGCAGCAGGGTGAACGGGGTGAACGGCAGCAAAAACACCACGCCCTGCTTGATGTTCTTCAAAATGAAGGTCACCGAGAAGATCATGACCGGCAGCGGGACCAAGTTCGCGATCGTCATTTTGCTCATCAGAGCGCTAGAAGCAGACTGGAACTCCGCGACCAGTTTGTCGAGGTCGTCTTTTTTGTCGCCCTTGCCCTCGTGCACACTCACGATTTTCCGTTTGAGCTCCTTCAGTCGGTCGCTCAAGTCGCGGACGTCTTTGCGGTGATAGCTGAAAAACCAAGTCAAACCCTCGCTGAGCAGCGCCGACAGCATCGTTATGCCCCAAATCGAGACCAACAGATACTGGTCGGGGATGTTTAACAGATGGTACTTCAAAACTTCCAGCATCGCGATTCCGCAAACTTTCTAAAATTCGTAAAATCTATTTCCGTTAGCTTAAATTTAAATACTGTTTCTCTTAGCCTGTTCACCGCAACCTCGCGATCGATTCTTGCATCTGAGACAAATCTTCCGGCACCACCTTGTTGACCGACAGATCTTTGCACGTGGGACGATGAGCAAACCTGCGGGCAGATCGGCACACGGCGAGACGCGAGCGGACGCAGAGAACTCGAGTCTCGGCGAAACGGCTGGCGCGGAGAACAGACACGCGACAAAGGCTAGCGGCGCGTACGGCCAGCCGGCGCAGATGCACCGGCACCGCGAGGGCGCGCACGCGGCGGACGCCGCACACGCTCCGGGCAGGCCTGCGCGCGGCTCGCGCGACGCGCACTTCAGGCGGGGCGATGCGCCGCCCGCCGACCGGACGCGTTTCGTAGTCGTGAGTTCCGGCACGCACGCAGTGCACAGCCACGCTGCGGCCGAGTTCGCGAACACAGGCGTGCGCGACCCGCGCGTCATGGAGTCGTTCGGCACGCAACCGCGTGAGCCGCCGATGTACGTGAACTCGCAGGCAGCGGCTCACTACCCCGTGGACCCGGCGTGCCTCCGGCCGCCGTACTACGGCGCTCCCTACCCCAACGTGGCGCAACCGTCGGCGCGGTTTTATCCGCCTGACGAGCCTTTGTACGCGAAGCAGCCGTACGCACAACCTCGGGCAAAGCCGGGACCGCCTGCGCCGCCTGCGCCGCCGGGGCCGCCTGCGCCCCTGCACTCGATGCCGGGTGTCAGCTACGCGGCGCAGATGGGATCGCCGGAGAGTTGTCGTTCTGCGGGGCTCGAAGCCGCCGAGCCGCTCGGGCTGCACGAGCTGCCGCCTGTCGGAGACATTTTGGCCACCGCCGCTGTGATGGACAACTTCCTGAAGACGTTGACGAACTCACACCACAATTTTTCCGCAGCTCAAAGTCAGCTGCACGACTTGCCGCTCCAGCTCACTTTCAATGGACACACCCTGTCGGCGCTTCCGGCAGCCAAACCGACCACTGCCGAAAGCGCGCCAGCTGTCGCGAGTGCGGCGGCGCCCGGTCCGAAAACACCCGCAGGTTTCGAAGCGCGCGGCGCGTCGTTCGCAGCATATGTCGCCGAAGCCCGCTCTGACGCCCGCTCTGACGCCCGCTCTGAAGCCCGCTCTGAAGCCCGCTCTGACGCCCGCTCTGAAGCTCGCTCTGAAGCCCGCTCTGAAGCCCGCTCTGAAGCCCGCTCTGAAGCCCGCTCTGAAGCTCGCTCTGAAGCTCGCTCTGAAGCTCGCTCTGACGCTCGCTCTGACGCCCGCTCTGAAGCTCGGTCGGATGCGCGACAGGAACCGAGGCCAGAGACACGCACCGACACTCGGCCTGAGATGCGGTCTGACGCCGCTCAGCGCTCGTCGGCCGCGAAGGCGCGGAAGACGCCGGTCTCGCCGAGCCCTGCCTCCGTCGCACCGAGCCCCGCTTCTGTCGCTCCGAGTCCGGCTTCTGTCGCTCCGAGTCCCGCGTCGAACGCAAGCGGCAATTTGTTTGGCAAGTTCCGCGTGAACCACTCTCGAGAGCGTCTGCATACCGAGCGCGCGAGCGAACGCCGCGCAGAGCCCGCCCGAAGCGGCAGCCATGCGCGCGCTGCTGAAACACACGCTCGACCGGATTTGGCTCCGCAGCCGAATGCGCTGGCGTATTCGCTCAAAGACATTCTAGGTTTGCGTGACTCGATACCCGAAGAACACATGCAGGAGTTCCGCACGCTGGCTGCCGAGAACACTAGCTTCTACCACATCACGGTTGAGTGCAACAACACAATGAAGCGCTTGATGCAGCACATGTCTTCGCGCCGCCACATGCAAGCGCCGCGCTCGGACCGCGGCCAGCGCGCCGGCTTCCGCGACTCGCTGAACCGCCGCTCCGAAGACTTCCGCAACGACCCAAACTTCCGCCTGGTCTCGCAGCGGTCTTCCGAACACCGCCGAGACGCCGCGAAGGAGAGCATCTACAAGAAGCCTTCCGACTGGATCAAGGTGCCGCGAGAGAGCCTCGACGAGCTGACTGCGCCGGTGATCCAGCGCAAAATCAAGGCACTGCTTAACCGCGTAAACGAGGCGAACTTCTTCAACGTCGTCGCGAGCATCATCGGCTATTTGCTCGCCTGCCGCACCAGCAGCGACGTCGAGCTTTGCGCGCAAACCTTTTACCACAACGCGTCGCACAACATTGCGCTGCTCGAAATTTACGCGGACATTATCATCGTGATCCGCAACTTGCCGGCGGTGTTGAAGATCGACTTCGGCTTCTCTTTCGAAAAAAACATTCTCAGCCAGGTGCAGTCTTGCTACACCAGCCTTCAGACTTACAACTGGAGC